CGCATCATTGATTCGTTGGCTGTCTCCCGGACGATACTTTGATCTTCTCATTTTCTCATTTCTCGACCGAGGCTTCGCTTCGTGCTTTTACTCTTCGAAAACGAAACGAAACAGATTAATTACTTGTAGTCCCATCACCATCTTCTTTTCTTCTCCCTGCTTTTTCTGATATTGATATTTCGTAGACACGGAGATGGATACTTACTTGCGATGGTACACTGGGTCACTAAAAGACGATTGGGTCGGGTTTGCCATCACATTTTTGCTTACTACGAGATGGATTAGTTTTGTAAAGCTGTCGAAATGCATATATGTATGTATCTATGCATTATATGAGCCCCCTCTCTGTGTGAGTGTGTCTACCGTCAATCCCTGTGTTTCTTGGCCCAGTCAGCGCACTGCCTTGTTTTTCTGGAAAGAAAACCTTGTGCTAGAATTCACCCGTGGTTATTTCGATTTCGATCCGCACCATGATACTTGATATATACTTAGGAGAATGTGTACGCGTGTACATAGTATACACTGGCAGTAATAGGGTTCGAACTCCAACTAGGAGCCATGCGCTTGACCGTTCGTAAACAAGTCGGAGAACGCATTGGTGTTCGGGACGGGAGTTGTGTAAAAAGGAAAGAGAAAGAGTCGATTCCGTCGGGCTAAGCGTCAGTGAATGTTGAGTACCATACGGGCCTTTTCCTACTTACGATCTTTCACTATATAGATATTGCATGAAATTCAACGTTCAGGGATGGTTGCGGAACGGATGACTCGAGCGCTGTATATTAGGACCCTACGTACATACGAAGGTGGGGTGGTCGGGATGAGGTAAACATGTCACGGTCTGTAAAGCAAAGTCAAATTTCAGCCACAATCACAGCGTAATGAGAGTCTTTTGAGCATTTTCAACCGTCGATCAGAACGTTCAAAAAAAGAAATTTCAAATCGATTTTTACTTCCGTATGTTACCTCCATAAGGCACACAGGTACACCTTTTAAGGAAAATAATAGAGAATTTTTACTTCCGCTTCGCGTGTTCACGCGTTCACGCGTCGCGTCGCGTACCTTCAGATCATTAATTCCTTTTGAACTAGTCTGACCTACCTCCTTTGGTTTGAGTTTTTGTCTTTTAGTCGAGAAAGAAAGAAAAACAGGAGTCACGGTCCGAGGACCTGAGCTCCGTCTGTTTGTGGCGTCGAAACGCGTCTTGAGCTCCTTTGGGGTGTTTGGAACTTTAGAGTCCTATTGTTTATATCCTTGGGAAGTCTTGAGACTAGGCGGCCGCGGAAATAAGAATAAGTAATAATACAACTTCTCTTTGCAAGGGAGAAACAAGCACTAGAAGCTCGAGGAGAACAAGATCAGGGGAGTACCTACTTACCCACGGACAAAGGTCTCAAAGGCCCCGGGTATGCAAGACAAGACCTGACAAGACGCCGAAAAAAAGACGAGGCAAGACAGGAAGAACGAAGCGTGCACCGGCGGCGGACGAGGTCAGTTTTTAACCACTCCTCGACTGTTCATTGGACCGGCGGCTTCATTCGCGCCCCGCCTATGGTACTTAGACGTCGGTTCGCATCGAAGCGTCCAAGGCCGTCGGGATTATTCATGTGTTATTTATTCCGAGACGTTGACACGTACAAAGTGAAATATATCTCAATGAACGCGTGAAGACCGTGTCTGATGATAAATATGGCCTTATAAGTAGGGTATCATATGGATGCGTCACTCCAACGCCAACACCAGTGCCATGGCTTGTGGAACTTTGACCGGTGGCGGGACAAGGGATGGTTTTACCGGTCCTGTTGGGTAAGTGCATACGGATGTCGGTATTAGGGCCGGAAGATTTTTCACACCAGCTCGGAATGGAATCACCATACAGGCGTGGAGCGCAAAGACAATAAGAAAGCTATAAGAGGATCAATCACTGTAGTACATATGATTGTCAAGGTGATGGTATGTGCGGGACGCGTGCGCGTGACCGCGTTCCGCCACTACAGAGACATCAAGTTCCGTCTGTGTTTCTCCACAGTGATTGTACGGTAACTCTGAAAAAATCGACAATCTTATTGAGGATTCGGCCCGTTCAAGTACTTTCCCGCGCATCAAGACGTCTGGAAGTCCCGCTCTCCATACTTCGTTATCTAATATCTGTATACATCGCTCTCATCACTATGAGATCCGTACTCAATATATCATGTCCCAAGTTCAAGTTCATTGAAATTTCGCCTTATAGATAAATGTTCAGCGTCAGTTGATACATCGACCGAGGCCCAACCCAGAGCCCTCGGATTCGATGGATTCGGCAGGTTTACAATTTATATTCAGACTAGAAGTCTGTATAACCCTGTTTTCATTCTGTCTTCCTCCTATGTAAGTACATAGAACATTTTGTGTTGAATTGAACACATCTGTCAATAGGGTAAAGATCGTGAATAACTGCTTTCTTTCTGAGAATGATCCCCTATCAGAACTCAGTGTTCCTGTACCCAAAATATCTTTTCTAGAGTGGTCTGCAGCCACACAGCTATCGTACTACCCACTTTGCATCTGCGCGTCTGCCGCTGTTTAAAGTTCAGTTCTTTGGATACCTTTGTGAGCCCGCCGGATCATGGTGCTTAAAGTGTGGTGCTTAATGTGCATCGCCTTGATTCAATATGCTATACATTCTGGATAACAGACTCCTCCAGAAGTGCTACGGTAGCGGGAAGCCTGATAGCGCTTGTCTGACACGCATCTTCGCCGCAAGACGCGCTGGGACGCGTCGAGACGCCTCTGACGTCAATTTTCCTATAGACGGACAAATCCGGTGTTAATTTAGGCGTTCACTATTTCCCAGGCTAACTTCTTTTCTTTCTTTGTCTTCGTCTCTCGCCGTATACTTATGCTGCTGAATACCAACAACTCTCCATTCCCATCTGTCTAATCTCCGTCTTTTCTTCGTAATAGAACATCATCAGCCACAAAAGCATGTGTAACCCGCCGGAATCCGGATCATTCAGTATCTGCCCCATTCTGAAGACTGAGTCAAGCTAATGTACAGGCTTTTCATTTCCACAATCTACGCGGAACCTCAAGTCAATATCGATACGGTACGCATTCCAGGCTTATCGCCGCATCTTTCGAATTGTCTGGCTGGGACCGCCTGAACAATACGGTTTTAGGTCCTTATGGCCGATTTTGGATACTTTATCCAGATACTTCCAAGAACGTGGAAATTGAATGACCATGGGGACAGCTAAACCGGCATGGTTCCTGAAGGTAATAATCCCCAGCATTCCTTCACTACCTTTACTTTTTGTGAGTCCCGGAATGATATGAATAGAGCAGAGCCTTTAAAGTTGCTAGCAACCGTCTCAATTATATTACAACCACGACCAGGGCAAGATCCTCAAGCACCTCATACGCCTGTATATAACCGTTTAAGTCCTGCAAGATTCTCCTATCATCCATTCTACATAACTTTATGGTTCCTGATCGCCTCGTTGTAACCTCACCTTCACAACAAGATATCCAGTGCCTCAAGGCCTTTCACTGTCAAGCACTTTAACAATGACATGTGCGACGCCCCAATCAACTCTGGATTTCCTCGTTGCGTCTTTCATATTCATTATTCTCAAAGTCTCCCATAAACGTTGCAGGCCATGCTATGTACAATGTTGCATTTTTGATTAGGACCAACCGGCAAATCCCACCGACGTCATCTCCTTCCTTCATTTGGCATCTTGACGTACAGGCCATTGCGATTGGAATCCTTTTCACAGGTATGTGGACACTTTCGTTGCTGGGTGGATATGGTAGGCAAGCAGGTTGCATGTGTAGTTGTGGTTGTCGACTTCGCTTAGCATGTATTGCTTCTGCGGGGGTTGCTGGGCCCAATTTCCGGTGTGTACACTGTACTTGTGCTTCAAACTGAACTTGTTTGATTTTTTGGCATTTTATTGTCGTTTTCTAACTATGCTAGATATAAAGAAGACTATAGTTTTCTTACGCGAAAAAGGACATCTTCCTTCGTTTTACTGGAAGCCCGAATGTCTTCAAGGAACCAATCCTCGGTACCGCTCGATAACTAATGTGACACACAAACTTTGGGTCGAGTTCTTCACCTCATAACCATTCCCCGCAATCCTTTAACTTTTCATCTCGTGATTCAATAGATGTTTTAATGATTGGCATCATTAGAGGAGCAATAGAGTACCTGCAGGGTTAATATCCACAACCCTAAGACGGCGTTACTTGAATGTTACTACCGTTCTCCGAGCTACCGAATCGGTCTCCGATATTGAAAAGATTCACAAAGTGAAATAATGGGTTTCAAGTTTGTATTCAAGATACGTTGTCATTTTGGAGTCTGGAGGATCCGAATACGAGCCAGACTTTCTCAGTGCCCATTCTAATATTCGTACAAACTGACCTATGCATTTGCAAGTACCCCTTTTTCACGACCAGAACACATCTCATTATTTTGAAGCTTTGCAATAATTACCTGCGGTCGAAACGCACCGGATATACAAGCCTGAGATCTGTCCAGAACGGACCGTCGCCTATTGCAGATCACCAGAGATTCCGCGAGATTCAAGGGCTTTGAAACTCCCGACGCCGTATCTGAGAGAGAGCGGAGCCCGACCTACGCAGCCCGACGGCCAAGGAAGCTCGAGACCATCCGTCAAAAAGCGAAGGGAAGATCTCCACAACAGATTGACCATGTGTATTTTGCGGTCCTGAAGACACGGAAAAGTGGTGTGGGTGCGTGGATAATTATTGCAAGTCAGTGATGTGCAGTTTATTCCTAGATGCAACAAGATTTGAGCGAGATCCCCGTGGCACATCTGCGCTGGAAAGATCTTCAGGTTTGAGGTGTATCTCAGGTTTGAATCTCTTGAGTATCTTTGCTTGGATGTTTGGTTGCTGCATGAACGTCGACATTTGTAAGAATTTGCTGTGATACCATGATATATACATAAATCGAGACTAAAACAAAAACTCTCTGTTTTCACAGCTGGATATCCGACCTGCCTGGTTCGAACAGGCGACCCCAAGATAGATATCCAGTTACAGTCTTGTGCTCTTCCAACTGAGCTAAGGTCGGAAATGATTTGGATTAGTGCAGTGTTACCTTTTATGATTTTCTCGCAACCTCGGACTCCGGAATTGGCATCCCGCCTCCCCAAGAAATTGGCTAGTCACAGTAATGCTTGTGTAGAACTGTCAGTTTGTGTTGGTGGTGGTAGGCCTAAGAACTTCCTCGTAATCGGGATCATGGTTTATTCTGAATCGCTCACTAGAGACATGGGTGTAATGACAGAAATCTCGCTCCGTTGTTTTCAGTCTTCTCATAAACTTCCCAAGGTCTTTCCCGTCCAGGTTCGTACCTGGGTAGATTTCGCCATTAAGGCGCACATGGAGAGCCTCGTTTCAAATTTTACGAGAGTCCTGAGCACTTGGGGGCGGTGTTGGCTAGGTACACGCCAATAATGAGTACTTAATATGTACCTGTGTGATGGATAAAACCAAAAAGGTAATGACATCGTTCGTTGAACAGTTAGGTGTGGCGTTTATGAAATCCTCCATACTTGAATGGGTAGAACTGATGAACAAAAAAAATTAAAGTGATTAGCACATTGTTGAAGCATGCGCAGTCGAACTTTCGTATCCGTGTCGTACCGGTAAGTTCCTTTCCTCCTCTGGGCATAGTTATCTGACAAGTCTAAGTACACTCTGACAGCGGGACGAGATGGAGCAAATAAGTTATGGCATGGGCGTACTTGAAGACAATTCGTGGCTCGCTGACTGAGAATCCCCAAGTAGTCGTAAATCTCCTCGGAGCAATCAGCCATCAGGACAACGGACATACACTTGGAGATTCCCGTGATGGATATCTTTTTGACGGAATTTCCGGATGCAAAATGGCCCGTAGAGACGTAGAGGTGTATGGGTGTTGTATCGCGCTGATCTCAGGGTACGACGGTGACGACCATTCAACAGGAACGCTAAATAGCTGAAACCGTAGCTCGGAGATGACGACGACTTTAATTGCCAAGTTGCTGGAGGGAAAATTGTTCCACTAGTAGAGCATACCGTGCATTATCATCGCACTTATAATTGAGTGACAATGTGCGTCGCGGGTAGTCAAGCTTCAAGACCGATTTTATCTAGGGGGTAGCTTGGGAGCATGATGAAGAGAAAATAACGAGAAGATACTTGTTGGTACAGAAGTTGCTCGATGTGAGCTGCGGACATTGAGCCGCACAATACCAATCCTGATACGTCTTCAGAATGAGAGTATTCCTAAAGAAATTGTCAAGGTGTTCAAATAATCTACCGCGAACGACTTATTCGCAAGTCGCGTCTTCAACTTGCCGACTACCATCATTCGATGCATCTTACTGCGTATTGTCCTTTTTGGTTCTCCCGTCTTGAAATACCTGGATACGTACACGACAAGCGAACGAAATATCTGACAAGAAAGGAATTCATAACGAGTGCTAGTCCGTTAAACCATTTTGAAGGGCTGCCTACCAAGGTTACTGGTAGGCCTACGCTTCCTACCCTCCAGCCATTCACTCGTGTCCTCTCTACCCTCCCCAATTTTCCACGCCTCCTGAAAGAATTCCCCCTTTGATCTTAAGATATTTGGGTAAGGACATGACCCCAGCTTAGCTGTCTAGCCGGGTTCGTATGCCCAGGGGATCCTCTCATTTGGATCTGTTTCGAAAAGAGAAGGGGCTCTACCACCAACAACGGGCCTAAGAAAAAGAAAGAGTTGATCTCAGAACAAGAAAAGAAGCCTTCCATTTGTCCATCGGTCAATAGAATCCAGATCCGCATTAAATCTCTATCCAGACCCAGCTGATGTTTCTACGTATACCGTACTTATTCTCGTCCTTCGAGACCCTGGTAATCAGTCGCAAGTAAACATTACTCAAGAGCAACGCTCGGTACCCACATCTTATATACGTGACCACTATCTTGTTTGCCTCCAATCCACAACATGTATGATGTCCACCTTCAACTCCAAGCATCCAAGCTTGTCAAATCTGCAGAAATGCTTCGTCATTATCCAAATGCAACTTGAAGCTTTGATTGTGCTTCAAATCTTCGTCCCTGTATTCCTAGTGTTAACGTTTTTGACGCATATACTTAGGCTGTTTAATTTCATGCGATATAGCATATCCTATCGGTTAGTCTAAAGGGAATGAAGAATTGAATAAGAGTAAAGAGGATCTTTTCTGGCTGAACGTGTGTTATTGCTTTTTGGGGCATCACATGATAGGCTAATAAGTGTCGCTCTTATCTATCGAAGCGCTAACCGGTCGACGTCCCCGGCTGTGAGAGTAATACGTTGTCTTCCTCGACCAAATTCTCTGCTCAATACTCAGTCAGCCTTTGGACTAGACCATCTATAAATTCTCTGTGATGATAACGTCCAATCTCCATTTTGTATCTGGCCAACTACTTTCCGTTACTTGTCAAAACCACTAGGATGTCGAGAATGCATACTGCCATCGCCTGCACCTCTGTAGGCCACTTTGATGCTATCCAGGTCCCTACAGAAAAGCCGGGAGATGGTCAAGTCTTGCTCAAGATCGAATATGCGGCCATGGTTCCATTTGATACTTATGTCAACGATTATGGGTTTGTCACTCCAAGTTTTCCGATGGCTTTTGGATTCTGCGCTGCGGGAACGATTGCTGAAGTAGGAAACGGAGTCGATGATTTGAAGATTGGAGACAGGGTTAGTCGTTTGTCTATGTTGCACCCATTGCTCTAAGGTTTTCCGTAAAGGTGACTGCATTTACATACGGTGAATCGCGTCTCAAAGCTACGCAGGAATACTCTGTGCAACCAAGGACTGTTTGTGCAAAGGTAAGTCAATCCAGTCTGCGTACTGTCTACACGTGCTCATCTTAAACTACTATCCCAGGTTCCAGACTCGCTCTCTTTCGAGGCCGCTGCAACAATTCCAGACAATTTCGTCACGGCGTTCTATTCCCTCTTTAACACTGTCAATCTAGCATTACCCGTGCCTTCATTATTCCCAGCTACCACCGCACCCCCGCTCGCAAATACTCCGATTTTGGTCTATGGCGGAGGTTCTACGGCTGCACAGTATTCTGTCCAGCTTCTCCATTCTGCTGGCTATAAGAATATCATTGTCACAGCTTCACCCAAGCATCACGAATACCTTCGTTCTCTTGGCGCGACGCACACTCTGGATTATCGTTCATCTGATTTCGCGAAAGAGGTTGCAGCTATTGTCACTGCCGAGCCTGGAGGGAACAAGGATGGCAAAGTGGATTTGGTTTTTGACTGTATTTCGGCCGAGTCCACGCTGAGCGCCATAGGCAAGGTCGTCAGTCCACTTGGTACGCTGGCGTTTTTGCTACCAGTGAAGGAAGGCGACAATGTCCGTGGTGGCGAGAAGATGTATGTAGATATTCCAGAGAAGATGAGTGGATTGATACCTCAAGGCACCAAGACTATTGGTGTGAGCACACTTTTGTACGCCAAAGTTAGTGTCCTTGCTCTTGCTCTTTGTTGTTCGTTCGTCTTATGTCTCGGTCTATTTCAGGATGAATTCCTTCGAGAGAACCTCATGCCCAAGATTCTTCCTATGCTTTTGGAAAAGGGCATCGTCAAGCCAACCAAAATTCGTTTGTTGGACGAGTCCTTTGGATCATTCAAAGACCGTGTCGGTACTGGTTTGGATTTGCTCAGGAACAACCAGGTTAGCGGGGAGAAGGTTGTAGTGAAAGTTACATGAAAGACATCGCGTCAACTTGAAGGATATGTATGATAGTGTATTATTACATTGGATGAAGATTAACTCGGCTTTTCTCTGGTCTCTCCTAATCAGATATGAGCGTTGTTGGCCCTTTCCATCAACATCACGTCCGGTAGAAGCTGCAAATCCAATTCATCATACTAACCGGTCCTCGACCGTGAGAGTAATATGTTTTGTCTTCTCAACCAAATTCTCCTAGTGCTCAGTCAGCTCAATGCTCAGTCAGCCTTTTGGACTAGAACCATCTATAAACTCTTTGTGATGATGACGTCCAATCTCCACTTTGTATTGGGCCAACTACTTTCCGCTACTTGTCAAAACCACTGATGTCGAGAACACATACTGCCATTGCCTGCACCTCTGTAGGCCACTTTGATGCTATCCAGGTCCCTACAGAAAAGCCGGGAGATGGTCAAGTCTTGCTCAAGATCGAATACGCGGCTATGATTCCATTTGATACCTATGTCAACGACTATGGCTATATCACTCCGAGTTTTCCCATGATTTTTGGATTCAGCGCTGCGGGAACGATTGCTGAAGTGGGAAATGGGGTTAATGATTTGAAGATTGGAGACAGGGTGAGTCGCTTGTCTATGTGGCACCCATCCTTCTAACATTTTTCGTCAAGGTGACTGCATATACGTATGGTGAATCGCGTCTCAAAGCTACGCAAGAATACTCTGTGCAACCAAGGACTGTTTGTGCAAAGGTACGTCAATTCAGTCTGTATATTATCTACGTGCGCCCATCTTTGTCACCCCAGATTCCAGATTCGCTCTCTTTCGAAGCTGCTGCGACGATTCCAGACAATTTCGTCACGGCATTCCATTCCCTCTTCAACACTGTTAATCTAGCATTACCCGTGCCTTCATCGTTCCCAGCTACCACCGCACCCCCGCTCGCAAATACTCCGATTTTGGTCTATGGCGGAGGTTCTACAGCTGCGCAGTATTCCGTCCAACTTCTTCATTCTGCTGGCTATAAGAATATCATTGTCACAGCTTCACCCAAGCATCACGAATACCTTCGTTCTCTTGGTGCGACGCACACCTTGGATTATCGTTCGCCTGATTTCGTGAAAGAGGTTGCAGCTATTGTCACTGCCGAGCCCGGAGGGAACAAGGATGGCAAGGTGGATTTGGTGCTCGACTGTATTACGGCCGAGTCCACGCTGAGTGCCATAGGCAAGGTCGTCAGCCCGCTCGGTACGCTGGCTATTTTACTACCGGTGAAGGAAGGTGACAAGGTCCGTGGTGACGAAAAGATGTATATGGAGATTCCAGAGAAGATGAGCGGATTGATAC